TTTTGATGGCAACATTTTTCCCTGGAAATTGGAACTTGTTCAGGCCAACAGTAAAAATGTGGAAAGCGCCAAAAACTTTGCATGCAACATTCAAGCTGGAGGATGTGAGGAGTTGCAGAAATCAGTATATATCTTTTAATATCAAACAGTTAACAGAAGAATTATAGTACTGAAACTTTGTTGTTGACTTTCAGACACAGACATCAATCAAGCACTGCTGCAAGGAGCAAATATGCTGAACACGCATGACAGAGAAGGTTCAGCATCAATCCTTATACTCCTCACAGATGGACAGCCAACCAAAGGTTGTAACAGATGACACCTGTACAAAAATGTGCACAAATACTTCTGGACTTAATGATTTTAGTCAATGATTTTATTGTGATTTCAATAAGGAGAGCTCATTTGAAAGACTTGAACATGGTTTAATGAAGAACAGTTTGAGATTTGGCGATAAGACTTTGACAAATCAACATGGCAGAGTGGAGTCTAGTAACGGTAGGACAGGACTTCTCAGAGTCTAGATGCAGAGGTAGAGGTGTAGGATCTCCAACTAGGTACAAATGAGGAGGTACAACAAATGAGTCTGAAAGGCAGGCTGATAGAAGAGCACTGAGAGCTTTAGCACTTGTAGAAGGCAGGGAAGGCTGGAGTGATGATGACAGCATGGAGTTTGGACAGCATGTGTGATGTAAAGAATTTGCAGCACAACACTCAAGAATGCAGGGAGATTAATGAGTACAGATCAGTTATTCAATATTTTTTGTTTTAGCTTTTTGTTTTATCAAGTGTGGGATTCCATTGTTTTTGAGCTGAATTGACTGTGTCTTATGTATTTTCAGGGGTGACAAATCTGGAGAAAATACAGTCAAATGTCAGAGAGGCTGTTGCAGGCAAATTCCCAGTTTACTGTCTGGGTTTTGGTTTTGATGTTGATTTTGAGTTCCTTAAGAAAATGTCGCTGCAAAATAACGGTGTGGCACGACGGATTTATGTAGACTCTGATGCTGATTTACAGCTGAAGGTATTTTGTATTCTTCCTACCACATGATTTGAAATCACTACAGATTTAGGAAGAAATTAGCATGATTTGTATCATGTCCACACTGTATGTCAACAGGGTTTCTATGAAGAGGTGGCAACTCCTCTGCTGACAGATGTGACAATGATCTATGTGGGTGGGACCAATCTAACCCAGACTAACTTCAGTCAGTATTATAATGGTTCTGAGATTGTGGTGGCCGGACAGATCACAGACAATGGCATTGAAACCTTCACACCTCAAGTTGTGGCTATTTCGGTAATGTTTGATCTAAGATATTTATCAGCTGTAATCTTGTGAAAGTTTTTTTCCCTGCATATTGACATTACAATATATTTTAATTATGACAGAGTAATAGAAGGTTAGTATTTTCTGACCCAAATGGCATTGTGGAATCTGGTGGAAGTGTGTCTGATGACCTTATCCAGAGAGTTTGGGCCTACCTCACAGTTAAACAGCTTCTGGACAAAGAGTAAGTACCATATATGCCATCTTTTGTCATGGTCCTGAGTCCGTGACTTAGTGATTTTGTGTTTAGAGTATTTATTGATGTTATTATTATTATTGTTATTTGTCGGCTGTTTTCGGATGGTTTGTGTTTTGGATACTGGGTTTCTGCTCCCTCTGTTGGTCCCTGGTGTTAGTGTTCCCCTGTCTCGTCAGGTTAATCAGGTCCAGCTGTGTCTCCCACCTGTGTGTGATTTCCCAGTGTCCCTCTGTGTATTTATAGTGTGTGCCTGCCTGTGTTCCTTGTCGCGTCGTCTGTGTTCATCCTCTGTGTTACCCTGCGTACTCTGCATTGCTCCGTTAACCTCTCCGTGAATCCTCTATGTGCTCTCCCTGCAGTCCTCCTCTCGTGTTTCAGGTTTGCCGTTCTATAGTTTAGTTTTCCCCAGTTTAGTTTATCCTTAGTTCTGTTTTGCCATCCCCACTTTGTGTTCTGTTTTCTGTAAATAAATCACCCTGCATCTCAAGTAAGTGCTGCATTCGAGTCCTCCGTTTCCACACATCACACGGCTGCTGTCCCAGTTGTGACATCTTTCTTCTTGTGTTATTTCCTAATCAGCTACTTTTTAAAGGGCAGCAACACAAATTTTTCTCTTCATTAACTGTCGAGTGCATAACTAATCTGGGATATTGGATAAGGCCCATCATATATTTCCCTGAAACCCAAGGTAACGTCTTTAGATCATTTGATGTGACTTGCAGTCCAAAAGGCAAAAGTTCATTTGGTCAAAAGTAACATTAATAGTTACAATGTAGCATGAATTTATGGGCAAGGAGAAGGAGAGTCATAGTTTCCTTTCTTTCCATCCAATATTGATCATGTTTGAAGAACTCAGCGACCATTTTAAAATGTTTTCCCTGGCAAGAAACAATTTGTCCACTATAGAGTTTTGAATCAGCTTCCGAAGTTGTGTGCTTATTCATGACATAGATGGCATCCCACGGTCTCAACAACTAAGCTGCAATTTACAAAACAAGTTAAAAATCTACAGCTACAACAAAGACAGGAAATTATGTTTACTACAGCAGCAGAATACAGTTAAAATTCAGCATCTTGGCTCTAAAGTCAACTCTCCCACAAATATGTCAAATAAAAAGAAGGCAGGATGTTTACATAACAATGAGTTTATCTATTTTTTCCCATGTTTCTATGTCCATATTAGATTCCACTAAAATGTTCTTTAATTTTCCAACGTTGGGACTCAAACTGTAATTTTAAATTGCCAGGGAATACCTGGGGACACGGAAGAATTAAAGATACATAAATATGTGTAAATTACTTTATCATATATTACTACTAAATCAATAGTTAGCTATTAATAGTAATAGTTAATAGTTATATTTACTTAATGCTTTATGACACAGGCTCCAGTTATCTGGACCTGAGAAAGAGCAAGTGAAGAAGGAGGCTTTGAGTCTCTCACTGAAGTACAGCTTTGTGACGCCGCTCACATCTATGGTTGTCACAAAGCCTCTGGGAGAGACCATACATGTGCTTCATAAACCCAAGGAAAGTGAAGCACCACAGAGAAGGAAGCTCCCTGGACGTCAATCCATTTCAAGACACCGTGGTACTTCTACTGGTCACAGGAGTGATAATGTTGGTGAGCAGCACAAACAAAGACAATGCAAAAGAGTAGTATTCATCATGACGTTTTCTTTTAATTGTTAAAAATTATTTTCATTATTATTTCATTATTTTCTCTTCCTAAATGCAGATATTTACATTTCTCACTGAAAAAATTAAATACTTAAAAGAACTTTACACCAAAATGACATTAAATATAGTATGAGTTTGCTTTTTTGGTAATTATGACTCTGTACACCACCGAAAGTTTTAGCTTTAATTCTAGAGGTTTAACAAAAACACTTTAACTGTTTAAGACTTTTTTTTTCTATATTTCATATTTTTGTTTATGCACAGAAATACGTCTCAAAGTGTTACAAATGTGTATAATATGATCCACAAGCATAAACACAATGACATTTTCTTTGTCTATATTGTGTGTGACACATTGACACACACAAACAAAAAAAAATTTCTCCTTATAGTCTCAGAAAACTATAAACATTGTCCTGTATAAAATGATTCCATACTGCACAGGGACAGCTTTACTACATCAAGATAAAGAAACAGTGAGGGTGACTACACTTTGATGACACAAATTTGGATGTCAGAAATTATTACGACCACTCGGAGCAATTGCATTAGATACAGAGCAGCTGCTATCTCAGATACAGTACATCGTGGCCTATTAAAGAAGATGCCCATTTGTTTATGAGCCATCTCACTTCAACTTTGTCAGCCAGCCTCTTTCCCTTCAACTTTTTAGCTGCACAAGAGGCAAGCTACAGACCAAGTCCACCAGTAGCAAGAAGTCAAGTTATTCTGATTATTCAATTTTTTATAATTATAAAAGCATAATTTTATTGCACTTAAATTCTTACGTTTTTTTTGTCAGTCTAAGCACTTTTGACCATCTCAAGGGTTATCTAATGTGATATTAGCTGAGAGCAGAAATATTCAGGATAGTTCTGTAAGCTAACAATAATGTCAGCCTGCTGTTAAGGTTTAAGTGAGTAAAAGCGATTGTACGTGTACTTTTAGACATTTTGTGCACAGGAAGGTTTTTCTAATAAGAGAAAATGATCAGAATAGTTAAAAAGTTAACAGTTAAAAAAATATATGTAAATGATCAATATTTATTCAGGTTTGGTATTTAGGTTAGTGCGCATTTGTAAAATTGTTTTACATTTGATTGAAATACTGTCATGTTTTTTTCCACATCAATTAATTCTTTTTTTCTTTTCAGCAACAACTGCTGTTGAGAGAGCCTTTGAGGGCTGGTTCTCCTCACTTGATCCAGGTACTCTGTTAGGATAGAATTAAATAAAATGCATTTTTCTTTTTATGGAGATAAAAATGTCAAAAAAAAAAACACAACACATTACCATAGTTAAGTATTCACTTTGACAGAATACAACAGTTTAACAACTGACTCTTACATACTGTACCTACATGCACATTTTCAACCTCTACTTTTTAATATGGTGTTTTCTAATTTAAATATTAAGACATTTTATTTCCCTAAAAATGTAGTTTAGTATAATATGAGAACCCTTAACTTAGTTTTAAGTACATTTTTTAAAGCAATGGGAAAAAAATGGATACATAGCTACCATCTTGTACTACTGAATATATTACACAATTTGATGGTATAGCATTAAACAGCAATACCCTACAGTTAATACTTAATGCTTAATTAATTCAAATAGGATTAAACACATTTTCATTATCTGACTCATCAGTTAAATTTCAAACGTTTCCCATAAATGTATCTGAACCTTCTCAATAAATATTACAAAAATGTTTCGTAGTTTGCAGCATTACTCCTCCTTAGTATGCCATTTATAAATACTGATATAATATTATGACTATGACTATGATTATTACTTGTACTGGCAGTGACCATGTATATGTAACATGATTTCTGTAGGGTTTTGTAAGCCTTACAATTTTTTGTGTTCAAACCTTCCATGCAAACCCTCTCTTATGCCTGCCTTTGTTGAAAGTATTTCTTGGAGCTACATTAGTTTAATTTTTAATTTTCATTTATTTTAAATTTTCCAATCCAAATTTCTTCAAATAATAATAATAATAATAATAATAATAATAATAATAATGATAGCTTCTATCATCATCGTCAGTTTGCTCCATAGAAGCAATTCCTGCTTTAATTTGTTTTTCAAAAAAAATGTTTGGATTTATAAGAGGAAGACATTTAGTTTATGACTTGATTCATTCATGAAACCGTTAGGCCATTTGAGTAGTTCATTATTATATACATAGCTGGTTATCTGATTGTTCAGGTTTTCTATGAATTATTGCAGTGTCTTCACCTTACAATACAAAGTGCCCAGATGTTGATGTGATTTGGTGTTAAATACATTAAATTAAATTGATTTGACTATAAATGTAAATGTGATGCTTATTTCTTACTTTCATGTGATCTTTTTGCTGTTCTTGTTACAGGAGAAATGATAGATATTTTACAATTTGTTAATGGAGGTATGATATGACACATGCTGCATACTATATTCTGATGTAACTACTGAAAAGATTTATACTGAATATTAAACTAACTGAAGTACAAATAAACATTTGAACTAAAGCTACACTGAAATGAGCAAGTACAGCTAGGAAAGTAACTAAATGAAGTGAAAAACATTTTTTTTAATGGAGCTGGTAGTGTGTGTGTGTGTGTGTGTGTGTGTGTGTCTGTGTGTGTCACAATATTTCAGTGCAGCAGTAATTCGTGGAGATAGGAGTTAACACACTTGTTAACTGGTAATTCTACAGTGTGATTCTATAGTGGGAAGCAGATAAAGTACTACATGAATGTGGCCAGTAAGACCGGAAAAAACACTGTAAATGTCAGTTAATTTTTTTATACATCACAGAAATGCTAAACATTTTTGCAGAATTTTAGTATTAGTCTAATGTGAGTTTTTCTTTTTTTTTAAATTACTACGACTAATTTGAAATTGCAAAGTAAATTAATCGCTGTTTGTTTAATCTTTTTTCAGATAGAGGATTTTACTTTTGTGAGTATTTGGGATTTATATGCTTTTCAGTCTTTTGTGATTTTAAAAAAATAACCTTATGAGAAAACTCTCATACCTTTGCAATCTATTGTTGACAGTATGGAGTTACATATTTTTTTTTTAATTTAAAATTTATCTGACTTTATTTTCTTTTTTAATCCAGATTTAAATTATGTATTTTGTGTCACTTAAACATTGTGCTGCATGTTTTTGCTACATTTTGTTTTGATTTGTTTTTACTTTGCGTTTTTGAGTAAAACATGTTTCTATCATTTGAAAATGCATAAAAAGTAAGTTTAGTTTTTTTGTGGCAAGATGATATAAATCCTTATTTGACACAACATTTAAAGGATTGTTGTGGTTTATTTTAGAGAGTTTTTTTTTTTAGTGAGTATAGTAATAATAGGGAATAGTGATCCTTGTAATTCAAATACTACACTACCATTAAGAGATTTCCTGCTTAAATTTATTACACCGGTAAAATATCAAATGCTTAGACTAAAAAAAACCCCAGAATATTCCAAAGTAACATGAAAAAAAAGTCATATGAATTCAAAAGTAGTATGTAGTGACAATAGGGAAAGGAGGAAGAGAACCGAGAGCAGTGGAGGTATTCTCTGGAGAAAATTCAGTAAACAACAGAATACATTTGTATAAATGAAAGGTAAAGAGGTGTAACAGTGAAGCTGCCAGGAACAGATGTAGTGAAGGTGGATAAGTTTAAATTACATAACTGAAAAATTGCTTATTAATTGTTCTTCTACCTCACCCGTTTTCATAATACTATTTGGTTTTCCATTGAAATCAGGTTTATGAAATTGTGTGGATGTGTCTCTGCTTCAGTTTTTTGCTGGAAAAAAGAGTATTAAATGCTATATTTTAGAGTTGTTTCTTTAAAGATTTTCTATGGTATTTTTTTAAAGAAACTAATGTATTTAATTCTAACATTCAGCCTCGCCCTCTGGATCTCAATCCCACAAAAAACAACCTAATTTAAGAGGTAAATGTCTTTTTTTGTAGTGTACTGTAGTTCACAGCTGTTATTTTCTATTTCTATATATGTAACACCAACCAGTGTTCAACTAATAAGGAACTGGATAAGCCTCTTCAGTCATTCTAATAATTGAATTATCTACATTTACATCGTAGGTTGGGTAACAGTTAAAACTTAACATATCTGTTGAGTGTTTTGCTGTAATGCATCAGAAAATGTTGATGTTTACTACACAAATATATTCCACAGCCATACAATAAACTTTAACTTTTTTTTCTTTTGGCTTTGCAATATTAATGTATGTAACTAGCATTTTGTAAATCTGTTTACAGAAACCTTACTTGATATATTCATACATCATTATTCACCTCATGGCAATCCTCTGCAACCAACTGATGGTACTGTATTAAATACATATAGTTGGAGTTAAATATATATATATAATTATTTTTAATAATAATTTTCTGAAATTTTTAAACATCCGCATTAGGCATTACCCACTTTAACAGAAATCTGAACCTACAATAACATCTGATGTGCCAGGCTCAAAACTCATATTTAATTCATTTATTTAGTTTTCTTTGACATATTAGAGTAAAAAAATATTTTCAATTACTTTGTTGTTTTTGTTTTGTTTTAACAATCACATAATACATGAGAAAAACAGCTAGGAAAAAACAAACAATTTTTTAGGAATGAAATACTCCATAAGTCAGGCTCTATATTTTATATGTAATAACAAATCCCTCTTTCAAAAACCTTCAAAATTGTACATGTTAATGAAACTAAAAACGAGTATGCAAGTGCTTGATTTTTGGCTAAGAGAAAAGTCAAATTTATATCTCCATTCTAACTCTGTATCTATGTATCTCTAGCTCCTCTTCTCCACAGGTTTTTGTTAAAAGCTGAGAATCAGACTGTTCCGCTGTGCTTTGATGTCAGTGGTGCTCTCAGCCTTAAACTTCTTCATCATCCCAGCAGGGGTCAGTAGTCTTCAGTTTCGCTGAGCTAATGAACTCTTGTTAATTAGCTCAGCTGTATTTCCTGTGAAATAAAATTTCGTTATTGGTTCTACCTCATCTCCGTTGTTATAACAATCCTCCAACTTGTGGTGTGGTTTTGAGTTGCACTTCTCTTTTGTGCTAGAGCTGTTTGTGAATGGTGAGCTTGATTCAGTTGCAACCGGAGGTTTCAAGAGAATTTTCATACACTTCCAAACTAACAAGCATTTTGAGATTGACACCAAAGGGGTCACTGTACGAGATGGACAGACAGAAACACATCACACTGGACAGGATCTGGTCACTGCTGGAAGGTGATTTTACAGTATAATGATCAAGGCTACTCAATACTACAATACTCTCAGCATTGTGTACAGATGTGTGTCCGTATTCACATGTGGTTAAATGAGACTTGCATGGTATTTAATGGCTTGAATTACTTTCAGTGACTCAACTCACGAATCATAGTATTAGAATATTGGAATTTGATTAACATATTTCCTACTGTATGTTATACTTACCTTTCTAATACAGGGTAACATCAGCAGGGCTAAAATCTGCCAAAATATACTTGAAACTTTTAATATATATATGTGTGTGTGTATATGTGTGTGTGTGTGTGTGTATATGTGTGTGTGTGTGTGTGTGTGTGTGTAGGTGTGTGTGTGTGTGTGTATATATATATATGTGTGTGTATATAAGTCAAATATTTATATATTTTTCCAGTGCCACAATGATTATGCGCAACAATGAAATAGACATTGCAGCAGGAGACATGCGCCTGGTTATTTTAGTTCATAAGAAGAACAGCATTAAATTCCTTTGGCCAGTTTTAAGACAGCATCCTTCAGCCAACAACACTGATGGACTTTTAGGTGAGTGAAAAGTTCATTTCTTTTTCAAATGTTGCATACCATTACTTGTGAAGTGTGTGCAGCATTTGCTTGCATCATATTATTATTACAAAAGTTTGCACCCAAAGGTGGTGCTTTCTGTAAAAAGACTTTGTTGTGTGGATATTCAATGTTTGTTTGTTCTCACGTTCTTTTTCCAGCTCTAAAGTCAGCAGTTTATGAGGAGGTACAACAAGTTGCGGCTACAAAACTAAAGATTAAAAACCAGGAGATCAATGTTACTAGGTACATATTGTTTTTTGTTGTTGTTTATGATATTTACCATATTTTATTATGTAAACATAAATTAAATTTTCCCCTCCCTTTCTTTTGTAGCGGCGATGCCAATGACTATAGCATTGCCTCTCCTCTCATGATGAACTGCTGGCTCACATCTGCTGACTCTGCCTTGCAGAGACCACTGGCCGATTTCATTGTTCCACAACTTTAACTGGAAACAGTGAAAAAATATTTCATTTAAGAAGAGAATATGGAAAATACTTGCAACACCTGCTTCCAGCATGAACAAATAAAAATATCTTGGATTGTTTAATGACTCACAATTTTCATTTTATTGAAAAAATGGGTATGAAGTCAAAATAATACATCCAACTGTGTGAATTTCATTAAAAATGAAGATGAATGTCACGGCTGCCGGGGCGAGCCGTGAGGTGTTGTGAGAATGAGGACCCAAAATGCAGGCAGCAGACTGATGAAGTGTGTGGCGTTTATTTACAAAGTGGCAGTGGCAAAAACATGCAAGCTCTTATTTTTCTCTTCTCTCCGCGGAGCATCGGCCACATTGCATCTGTTACCGTAGACAGTGACGGGGGTGTCGCTGATCACCGATGAGGACCAGTCGCCGCTGCCTCCCATGCTTGTGGCGTCGGGAGAGCAGATCTCTTCTCCGTCCAAGTACAGAGGAACGCAGGGTTGCAGAGTGAAAGGTTCCATCTTGTCTGTGCATAGAAAAGTGTGTGCCGGCCCCTCTGTTTTTATTCTTCTCCCTCCACAGACCCCCCTCCCTCTAAGGGAGAAAACATAATTTTTTTTCCCACCGGATGCGATTAGTCAGACATATGAGTAGTAATACGATGGCACTAGTCCAATATGGCGGCCAACCAAACCGGTGTTATGCCAAAAAGTGATAGTCTGCCAAAAACTGATTTCCAATGTTTCTGTGTATTTTTTATGCGTAATATCTTTACGTATGTTCGTAAATAGACTTCGGTGAACAGGGTTTACAAAGGGGTTATATAGAGAATTTAAAAATTATCTGTTTTTAAAGTATCTTTATAACTCTGTGTTATTGTACTTAAATTATAACCAATCCGGTCCTTTATCCCCACTTAAAATATTTTTACAGAACTATTGTAATATTTGCTGCCATTTCTGCTGT